TAAAATAAAACTTTATAACTTTTATTTTAAAAATTTCATTATAAATTTCATATAAGTTTTATTCAAAGACGTGAGGTTGTCGACCCCATTGGGCTTCTCCCCCACCAATGCACCCTCGTGCTAGTCGTCCCAATACACCCATCAAACCATGCGTGCTGATGGAGGCCCCCCTCCCCCAAAACCCCAGTTTTCCCTTCCCAATGTGTTCATGAAAATTAGGCTCATCCTCTTCCCACCCGTGAGAGACATAAGACAGACACATGCCTAATTCCTTTTCTTTTGTTTCTCCGCAAATGGGGGGACAATGAATTATAACCTTCTACACCTTATAATAAGAGTTTGTGATTGAAAAAGTTCACTCCTAAAGCCAATGCCAAATTCAACAACTAAAGCACATGCCCTAAATTGTTCACATGTACCACATTCTTTACATTTTTCTTTCTTTGTGATAAAGCTTTGTCCAATGGGGCAACTATCCTAGTGTAAATCCTAGGCTTTAAATCAAATGATTTTAATTGGATCTTAGATTGACGTAACATTAATATATATTTTAAAAAATTTATATTTGATATATTATCAGTATATATATCGTCAGTGAATTATATAATGATATATTATAAAAAATTAATTTTAAAATTTTAAATTCTAAAAAGAAAATACACTTAATCCTATAAACATATTTAAAATTAATTTTTTTTATAAAATATCATTTTATGTTTTACTAATAATATATAATTTCAATATATTGATAATACATCAAATATAAATCTTACTTTAATTTCTTGTTTATTTCTTATTAGGGAGGATAATTAGAAAGACACCAATATTGAAATCCCACGCACAGTTTTTTTGTTTGGTGCTAAAAGGTTCACAAAACCTTAATCAAGAACAAGAATGTAGGACCGTAGTTCAACTTGGTGGTGGGGGATGGTTGTTAAAGAGGCTTACCGAACAATGTGGTAGGGTTTTTAGACGCCAGACGCGTGAACCAGTATAAGCAAGATCTAGTCAAAAGTATGCCCTTTATGCAATGGTATTGATGACGCTTTGCTAGATCTATTTATAAGACCTAAAAAGGAAGATTAGGTCCGTTTAGAAAAAACATAACAATTTTCTCAAGGAAAATATCAAGAACTTCAATATTTTATTAAGACATGAATAAGATAAAAAAAATTTTTTTTACTGTAAACAAGATAAATTTGTTAGTATATAATAAGAGTTGGCATTTGATATAGTATTAATCTAATTTTTAAATTCCACAAGCAAAATTAAAAAGTTAAAATATGTTTTTTTAACTATTTTTTTTTTTAAAAAATTATTTGATACACTAATAGTAAAATTTTTTAATTTCATAAATGAAATTAAAATGATAACACATGTCTTATTTTTTAATTAATTTTTTTATTTTTAAATATATTTTAAAGAACATATATCACTATCATAATCTCATTTGTAGAATTAAGAAATTTTACTATTAGTATATTTAATAATTTTTTTAAATATATTCTACAAAATATATCTATCAGCCTTAATAACTTGTGAAATCTAAAAACACGAATGAAATAATTTATCTAATGATGATCCAAATATATAATCCCGAATTTTTAAACTTTATTAATCTATTAGAAAAGTCACATGCACGGTGCACCCCATATGTATTTCAAGTAAGATTAGGAATAACCTCTTTAGGCTCTAGTTACCTCTACTTGGTCTCTTATTGGCATCCAACAAATGCACGTGCAACCTGCAAACAATCAGCCCACCAATCAAGGAACGGATCCTTCTTTCATTGGGCCTTTTCAATTTTTGTTTGGACTGAGGATTAATTGTTCGACCCAATTTTCAGGATTCCCAGACAAATGCATGTTTTTGCGGTGTACATTAAATTGGAATAGTTCAACCTTTGTCTGTGGCTCCATCTTAACAGGAAAAATTATATATATATATATATGTTTAATTCTTAATCTATCCTTAATTTCTAAATTTTTATCTATTTAAATCATCTGACGAGGATATTATACATTTGAATCCTATCAAATCCGCAATCTTTTAGTACAATAAAAAAATTATATCTTAATTATACACTAATAAATTAATCTATCACATAGATTGATTCTTGTCATCTTAGGAACCCTATTGCTTGGACCGAACCTCACTATATTTACATGCATCGTTATGTGGACAGTTAAACCACCATTAGCCGTTGGACACGTGATTCGAATAATTGACTCGATACATTGATCTCAATCTCGAGCCATTGTCATGCCTAAGATAAGGTTTAATCAAAACTAGAAAAATAATTACAGATGACAGAAGAAGATGTGATGAGACTGATAAACTTCAATAGCACCAATGAGGATTTTGTATGTATAGAAAATAATAGGTTTGAAGTTTTGTGCTTGTGGGGGCTTGGCTTAATTATGATTGATTTATCAAGTCCAAAGCTTGCCATGTGAAAGAACATTCTTTTCTTTTAAGATAGTGTCACTCCACCCCTAACAAAAACCCCTGCCCAGCTATTTCCTTACTCCCACAACTTGCATTTGTCATGATTCATCTTTCTCTTTGTTTCTCCAAAAAGGAGGACCAATTTCCAAATGACAGCTAAGGCTTGCAATATTGAACAATCTCATTCCCTTTGGATTTTATTGAGATTATACGGGAACACGTTTGATGGGAGTTGGGGACATGTTGAGCTTATGGTTTTGACAGAAGGAAATTTAATGATAAATTTTCTGAGCATGTGTCACCGCAGGTATGCCCGTGAGCAAACAAATTGCAGTGAGGCACAAGTCAGAGTGGTTTCTTACCTCTAATTGTTCGGTTGGGAGAGAGGGAGTCCACTGCCTAATTATTCCTGTCTTTTTAAGAGGATATACTTATGTTATTTTTTCTAGTCAGATGGTTTGTCAATTGAAAACAAGCTTCCTACTTTAAGAAACCTAAAGAAGGGAAAGGGAAATCAATGCCTTGAAAATCAAGGGGGAGGATGTCCCACGATAATAAGATTTGAGATTGTGTTGTAGGGTAAGGTCTTCGTCTCAGACAGGATTTTAGGGTGTCTGTCTCCTTGGGTTTATGCACAGGCTTTTGTTTAAGAAGTGAAACCCAATTTTACTAAGGCTTCATTAGAGAGGAAAGGTCCAAGGATTTCAAGGAAGGCTTTGGTCCAACTCCAACTTATAAACGTATCTCTCTATGTACCAACTTTTAACCCATTTTTAAGACCAAACCATTAGCCAGCCACTCCTTCAAGTTCTGCCATTTTAACTTCCAGTGTTGTATAAAAAACATTGTAAAAGTAAAACCCTCGTACTACAAGTTCTATTGCCTCCAAATTTTCACTTGTTCATTTACATCCTCCAAAATAATAATAAAAAAAATGTTTTACTCTAGGCTATTAATTTTGAACTATAAGTGAAAATTTCATTTTTCTTTCATTTGTCAGGAGATTTATTGTAATTTCATCAGTTGTTTCTGGTTATAAGCCTATCATCTTTTGGGAAAGGTGTGATTCAAATCCAAATTTAACACAAATCAATTAGCCGACAAAGTTTAAAGGTTAGAAACTGTAATTGATCTGATACAAACTTTAGGTATTAGAGGTTATCCTACTTTTAGCATACAAATGCAATAGCATAGTCAAGAATGCGACAGATGTGTGCCTGTCAAGTATGCGCACATTGGTTTGTTTAGTTTCTTCTGGCAAAATCATTTTGAAAGTAAACTTCGGCAACTTTTTGTCATTTCTCATTATGGCGATGCCAACTAACCCTCTTCTTAGCTTCTTCTTAGGATCATCTGGATGACATTGATTAGGATGATATTGAAAATAATTGTAAAGAGATTAAATATTATAATCATGAAATTAAAATCAGTATTAAAAATATGTATTGTGATGCAAATTTAATGGTGACGGTGAGATTAAATATGATAATTGTTGAGAATAATTTTGAGTCTAGAAAGTAAATTGGTCTTTTGTCTCGTTAGAGGTTATCAACAAATAATCAAGTGTATTTTTAATTTTTAGGTCGACTTGATATGTATAATAACACGTTAATTTGGTTATATTATTATTTTACTTCACAAATCTCTTACTTTCCATTTAAAAATAAATTTATTTAGATATTGTCAATCAAATTTAATTTTTTTTATATTCTTAGTTTTTTCACTCTTTTCGATTTTTTTCATTCTAATTTTTTATTTGAATGTCAAAATATAAGTATATGAAACATCTCCTATCTTTACTTTTATCATTTTCCCTTTCTTTTTTGTTATGTGATTTCAGAGTTTTGACCTTCTGTTCGAAACTTTATCAAAATTAGTCTAACACCCCTACAAAAACAGTCGAATGTCATAATTCAAAAATATATTTTATTTCAATTTTACATAAGATTATGTTCAATGAACCTTCAAGTGGAGGAACAGTGCACTTGAAACCCTCAACTACATCACTTGAGTGCTATCCAAATGCATCCCATGATGCAATTGGATTAAAAGAATCCGGTGCTATGTAATCCAAAATGAGCCTTTAATCTCCTGACAACTGACATTTTGTTTTGTTATTTTATACCATTGGCAATTGCTGAATGTTTCTGTCTGCGCAATTGAGCCCGTGATCACTAACCGGACTTTATTTATTTCACTTAGCTAGTAATTTTTGACTTAATTATATAGGATTGTTTATCTGTAGCCTCAACCTTTGTTGAAAATTAGCTCAAGGCGGCACAAAATCGTCTAACTTTGCGGCAAATTAGTATCTGCTAAAGTAAACCACCTTTTTACTTTTTAATTCCCATAAATTCAAACCAATTTGATTTTTTTTTCCCTCTAGCTTCCTAGCTTCCATTGGTTTTCCTGTTTTCTTTGCCTTTTTTAAGGCAAAATAATCGCAGGAAAAAGTTATGAATTTTCTAACAGCTTTTTGGATTTTGAGAGTAGAGTATCTCTGGGCTTATGGCACACTTGAAAAGAAAATAAATAAATATTTAGGCAGGCGATAATAAAATATTGATCAATAAAATAAACAGAAAGCAAAACCAAGTAAAATCCCTATGTAGATTAGATACTAATATGTAGTATCTATCACTTACAAATTTGTGTGTAAACTAATATGAACATTCCCTAAATAATTTTTTTTTTTTTTATAAACTTCTTAAAGTGGGTCATTAAGCCTGACTAACAAGCCGCCGAAGATGGCCTTGATTGCAGGGTTGATGTCCCAACTTTAGATGACAATGGGGCGGCAGTGGTGGTGGCGGCTGTCATTTTGGTGGGACCCTTGTCATGGGCAGTGTTGGTGACACACTCGCATCGAGGGCACATTATAAGGGTTGATGCTGGTAGACGCTCACAGCTATGAGGCGAAATCACGGTTGGTGGCCCTACTTTCATGGCCCTAAGCTCCTCCACCTCCCTCTGAAGCCTCCGGTTCTGTTCAGTCAATGATCCAAAACATCTCTTCAGGTACGCACACTCCATCTCTGTCTGCTTCAACTTGCTCCTATATATTTAGTTTGTGATCATTAACATATTGCTACTAATATCAGCAAGATCAGGAAAGGCTTGTTTATAACATTTTCCCTTTTTTTTATCTTTCCCTTTTTGAAGTGATTGGTTGATTTCAAAGGATTACTCAAAGAAATATCATGCTGACAGATATATATATATATATATATATATATATGATAACAATGACGTGCAAGGTCTTTGCACTTTCATGGTGCCGTGACCAACCAAGCTAGCTGCTTAAAAACTTAAGAACACATATTGCATTTAAGTATCGAACTCATAAAGCTCTTAAACAAGTAAAAACATTTTGTGATTATCTTTTCATTCATTTGCCCATTTTTTCCTTTAACTGGTGAATGTAGAGTAGTAATAAATTCAAACTTGGATTTTTATTCATATCTATTATATAAGAACATTTATTATCTTATTAAATGCTAACCATTACATACAGCCAAATAATCGATAAACTCAAAAACAATAATTTTTATTAAAGTCATAATTCTGCGATCTGTTCTCAGTTCCTCATGCATTGATAAAAGAAAAAAAACATGATTAGAATAACAAATTAGCTTGGAGGTGGGGGTGTTTTCTTTTCCCTTTTATTGAATTTCATCCAATAATTTAATGTATATGCACGTATGTAATAATTCATTAATGCATGGCTAAGTCCAAAAAATGATGGTTCAAAGCAGCACTTTATTAGAGGGGGAGATGATGATCTGAATAGCACACGAGGCCAGAAACAGACATGCAATGTTCTGCTCGATATCTGCTATCATTGTTAAATGTTGATATTTTCAGACAAACCATTATTATTTTGATCCCACAAAGCTCTTCCGCTCATGCAATCAAACACCATCATTAATTCTTCATAAATCCTTTCAGCTACTTGTCGGCCATGTGTTGTTTTTTCTATTACCTGTTACAGGTTTTGTTTATGGATCGTGATTGTTTTTGTCTATGAAATATTAAGAAAAGGATACTGAAAAGTGTTCTATATCTCTCTAACCCTTTAGTGCTCTTTCTAAATTATTATATATTCATCTAAGTTTCATGCTAAGTTCTGTAATGATAAAATTCTTTTGAGGAAAATAATGAACTTTCAGTTGTGTTCCTTGTGTTCTTAAGGTTGTTTGAAGGCTCTGAACAACAGATTGAGGGTGTCTCAGGATTCCATGGCACTATGCTGTGGAATTCAATTTTTTTGGGCTAATAGCATCGTGAGATGCACTTGGATAGCATTCTTTGATATAATTATTTACTGAAATTTATGACAACCGACTACTTAATGTAATATAAAAATAAATAAATTTTATATATTTTCATCATTAATTTTAATTTTAATCTCACCAACTATCAATTATTTCATCCATCCAAATGAATTAAAGTGCAATGTTCTAAGTTCTAACTTGCTCTTAATAACTCTAAAATATAGACTTATTACTTAGGAATGATGTGATATATCAACGTCCAAAACAACCGTTTAGTCAGGGAAATGACAAGAGAACCCCTTAAAAATGAAACTAGTTATGATAGCTTCATAAAATATGATTATATCCCTAAGAACTAAAACTTTGAAAAAAAAAAATCTATTGTTTCGCTTTCCACTTTACATTATTAGTGTACGAAAAATATACGGGAAGAATCTGATTCAGATTATATACTTCGTGATATTCTGTCTAACATTTTGATGATATCCACCCTAAGCTACTTTTTAATCCCACCCACCAACAGAAAAATAAGGACCCAGAAAAAAAAAAAAAAAGAATTCATTTAAATGAAGTAATATATATTTATTCGTATTTTTATGTATGTGTATGGTATGGGTTAGAGCAAGTGGTACCTGGCCCTACGGTTCTGAAACCAAACTTCAACCTGTCTTGGCCTAAGCTTCAGCTGCAAAGCCAATGTTTCTTTCTGCTTCTGCAAACACAAAACTCCAAAAGGCATTAAATAAAGAGATGATCTGATGAATTTATTAGATATTTTATGTGAAAAAAGAAATGTTGGTGTTTGGTGTTAGTTAATTAATAAGCAAATGGGTACTAGTTTGTCAATTACATACAGGGTTTAGGGTATGATTTTGTCTGAAACTTTCTTCAAGAAGACGAGACTGTTCTTTTGTAAGACGAAGTTTTTTGCGAGGAGGGGCTCCATTGCAGCTTTCTTCTTCATCTTCCATGCTTGCTGTGATCCATTCATCTTCTGCTCCTCCTGATGGTACTTGGTTTATGTCCAAATCTCTCACTGTAGAAGCCCCTTGATCACCTTTAGTGTAATATTTTCATCCACCAAAAAAAAAAAAAAGAAAAGGAAATATATCAAATTTAAAGAAAAATCAATCAATATATAAACTTGAGGACGATCATATTAAAAGAAAAAACAAAGACCCAATCTTTTTGAACCATGCATGGAATCCGGGCATAGAAGATCAAAAGCTGAAACTTCATAAAACATGGGATTTTAAAAAGAGAAAAAAAAAGGCTTGATATATATCTTATCAATATTAAGAAGCAATAAGCAAAAAAAGGGTGGGAAAAGAAAGTGAAGGGAAAGAGAAGAAAAGTGATGTTTCCTTGTGCTTACCAGAAGAAGGAATAGAAGATGAAGAAGAGAAGCGAGGAACAGATATTGTCAACTCCAAGCTGGTGGGTAAAACCGCCATGAAAGTTGCAGAAGAAGAAAGAAGAGGAAGATAGCGATAGATTTTATGAAGAGAAAAAGGTAAAGTTTTTAAAAAGATGCATAAAAAATGGAAACAAAAGGACACAAATGAGAGACACAGAAGAAAATGAAATGAAAGGAAGGAGAAAAAACGGGAGGGGTTCTGATATAAAGGTCAAAGTAATAAATAGATATAACAAATAAATAAATACATTTTAATAAGGAAAAAAAAGAAGCAAAATAAGAATTGAAGATGTTGAGAGAGAAGTGCTAAATAGCTAGGGTTTTTGACTGTGGTCATCAAGTCAAAGGGTGTGACCCATCTGATCTGAGACACGTATCAGAGATTGAAAAATCTTCGTGGTGTAGGAGAATAACCGGCAGGTTTTCTGTTTATAAATGGTGAGTCTGATTGTCGGTTGAAAGGTCAGTTGATTAAATGATTGGGAGCTTGGGTTTGGGGGGTACCTTTGGTTTGGGGCAGGGCAGGGCAGGGCGGGCACAGGACCCCCTTCTCCCATTCATACATACACCTGCTGTACTAATAGCCGCGTGTCATTTTTTTTTTCTTCTTTAATGCTGAGTGCTGACATGACCCTTAAAGTCCAAGGGCAGAGGAATTTTATACTACACCTCATCCCCATTGCATTTTCATGGCGTTTGGGGCATCTGGGTCATTCACTTTTCTGACTTTTTGATAGAGAAATTGGTGATTGGTTGGGTTGAGTTGGGTTGGGATACCGAAGAATTTAATGCTGTTTTACCAATCGACGGGTACAGTGGAATTGCAACACCCTATTTCAACATCAATGCAAAGGAAAAGTCTCATAATTTAGAGACGTGGAGCAGGGACATTTATGGAGGAAGAATGCTATTCCTGTCTGCATCCATTTTTGCTTTTGTTTTTGGGATCTGACGACCATGTTTAATAGTACAATTATTATTCATTTCTCTCAAGACTTTCAATTTGTTTGATAAGTATGATACATATTAATTATTATTCAAAAAGTCCACATAAACATGTTAATATGCTAGTATTATTGGTTTTAAAAAAATATGCAAGAAGATTTCTTTTTAAGATTTTTTTTTATAAAAAGTATTATAATCTGAAATAAAAAAATTATAAATATTAAAATTAAATTTCAAACTTATCATATATTATCTCTAAAAATAATTATATAAATCTTTTGAATTAAATCAAAGTATGTTATTGGTGTGAAGGATGCTGTCTTAATCATTTCAATTAAGACAAGTAAATAGATTTTTTAGTGATCAACTAAAATTAATCTTATGATTTGACTTACTAATAAAGATTAAAAGAAAATTTGGTCTACAAAGAAATGAGGATCAACCTTGGTGAGGCCAAATTTGACCCGAATATCCCACCGCCAATAAAAAATCGGGATTAAGTCAATTGCAGACTCGAGGGGTTGGTTTTAGGTAGCAACAAAAATCTGATCAGCAACTTGGATTTGAAGTTGGGACCTTGACTCAGACTTCCCAAGTTTTGTATCCTTATTGCTAGTAGTTTCCTTCAGTTTTCACCCAACTCATTATTATTAGTTTTAATCCCACACCCTGAAAAACAAGCCTTGTTTAAATGAAGGCTCTAAAAAAGACGAAACCTTAGACTTATAACCTACACTTTCTTTTTTTCTTATACAATAAATTCATCCAATAAATGTCACATAACTTGTCTTAAAATCTTAATGTTTTTCATTTTCAATTTATAGATTCCAATACAAGGTAAAGTGGTAAGAATATGGGTCGGAGAAATTTTGTCTTAATTAGCCATACATTTAATCATTTGTAGGAACATTCATTTCTGATTAAACTACTTTATTCATGTTGACTTTTTTATCATTTCAATTCTTGAGATGTAAAATGTAGTTCTTTCTTACGTTACATTATGTTTGGATTGAGGAAAGGAAAAGGAAAGGAAAATAAAATAAAAGAAAGTAATGAAAACAAAAAAATCATTCATTTGTTTGGATAAATTTTTATTTTTAATAAAAGAAAAAAAGTGAAAAGCCTAATAATCTTTGATTTTTTTTTTAATATCTCAATTTGAGAGAAAAGTTAAAGAAAAAAAAGTTAAAAAAAATTATTTTTATGAAACGACTATTATATCCATATTTTTATTATGACATTAGATTTAATTATATAATTAACATATTCTACAAAAATAATTTTTTTAAAAAAATAATTTATATAATATCACAATTTATAAATATTTTATGATTTTTTAAGTCTTAACAACAAAATAAGCTAAATTATTGTCAGAATAAATTAAAAAGTTAAATTAAACATAAAATTAAGAGTAAATCACTAACTAACTAATATATTTTACTATATTAAACATGTTCAATTTTGTTCAAAAAAAATTTATTTATACAAATTAGGTAGTATAAAGATATATTTGTATATTATAAGTTACTTTATAAAGAAAAGTTATAATTGAAAAAAATATATTATAATGAATTATTTTTTTCTTTAATTGAAAAAAAAAATATTATAATGAATTATTTTTTTCTTGTTTACTATTTATCCAAACAATGATTGTTAAAATTCTTTTCATTTCTTTTCATTTATTAATTTTAACTATCCAAATAAAGGATACATGTACTCTTTCCTTACCTTTAAAAAACTTTCTTTTCCTTTTATTTCCTTTCCTTTATTAATATCTTTTCAAATATAGCGTTAGGGTTTGTCAAAATCTTTCTACTTTGATAGGGATTTTTTAGGGTAGTTGTATCAATGCCATGTCATTATTTACATGGCCCTAATTTATGTTAGAATATTTTACTGTTAGCATTTTGAATTTCTGATTTACACATTCATGTTTTAATTATTTTTCTTTATTATCTAATTTTCTTTAGACTTGTTCAATGGTGGGGTTACCTACTTAAATCTAAAGATTCATTTGAGTTTTGAGAGGGTTTAGATAAAAAATTAAAATTTATTAAATTGATTTGGGTATAATTTTTATGCCCATTTAAATTTCAGGCTAGCTTTAAATAAAATATTTAAAGTTTGAACTCAACTCAACCCAGATTCACCTATATATAATTTTTTATTTTTATATGAGAAATTATTTGATAAACTAACAATGGAGTTTTTTAACTTTACAAGTGAGGTTTAGATGATAACACATGTCCTATTTTATTTTAAATTAATTTTCTTAAACATATAAGGAGCATGAGTTATCATTTTAATCTTACTTATAGAGTTAAAAAATTTTATTGTAAGTTTATTTGATAATTTCTCTTTTTATATATATATAAATTATATGTAAATTAATTCACATATATATAAAAATTAAGAATAAAAATTATATATTTTATTAAACTTAATTTTTATTTTTAATTTTTATATATATGAATTAATTACAATCACATTAAACTCAATTTAATCATTTTTTTATTTTTTAAATTTTTTATTATATAAATTAAGTTGAATGAGTAGGTTGTATTTTTTTTTTTTAATTTGACCCCGATTTGAAAAAATATTGAGGCTCGAAATTTTAAATTGAATCTGAACTAGCATATAAACTATTAATATCAAGCATGTGCCTAACTCGAAGCCAACTCGATCCGACCATGAACACTTCTAATCCTCCTTTCCTCTTTCTCTCTCATATTAAAAAAAAAAACCCAAAATCATTTTTTTTTTTGCCAAAACTATTTTTAAAAAGAGAGAACTAACTACTACTCATTTGGAGCTTTTTTTTTTTTTTTTTTCTAAAATGAAGTTACCATTTTAGCACACACAAATTTTTTAGGAAGTGTGGGTTAGTATTTAGTACTTAAATCCATAAAAAAAAATAAAGATTTCAGTACTAAAAAAATCAAATCATGCTAAGAAACTCTATGAAGAAGGAAAAATGGAGGTGGACTCTTCAATGGTTTTTACTGACAAATTTGGACGGTAATAGAAAGAATGAAATGCCTATAGCCATTCACCTGATCTCACCAAAAAAGTTCTTAAGATCTCTCCTCTAACAAATTTAGGTTTTGATTGTAGATGGGGTTTTCATAACAGGTTTTATGATCTATTGCTAAAAGTAAATCATTCAATAAATTTAAACTCGTACTAAATAATTAATAAATCTAAGAATGGATTAACAAAACCAACTTAATTTTGGAATATTTTAAATCTTATAAAATTTCAGATCTAAATTTGGAGTTACAATCTAGTCTTGATCCTATAAAAAGGATAAAAAATAGATAACTAATTAAATCTGTTCATGCAAAATCTTGCCGTTTTACCTTTCACCTAAGCAACAAAATGCATATGGTAAGATGTTTGAATGTAGAAATATAGTCAACTGTGGTATTTTGAGAACAAGCAAAAATCAGTCGGAATAAAAAGATAAAAGACTAATTTTCATTTTGAAGAGTAATCCTCGAGGTAAAAAAGATTAATTTTCAGTTTTAGTTCATCGATCTTGATTTTAAGAAAGCAATTAAAGAAAGCTTAGTTACCTTTTTTCATGAAAAACAATTTGTAGTCCTAAAGATTCATATGAATTGGATTATTGCTATGATCAAAACGGGGGACCTACTTTCATTTTTGGGTAAAATGTTGGTAGTTTTAGAATACGGTATATCTTACGTCAGATAAAAAAAAATTAATTATTGATGAATGAAATTAATTTTTATATTAATTTTATTTATATTTTAAATAATTATCATATAATAAATAGTTATAACTATTTAAATAAAAATTTATGCTTATTCATTTATTATAAATAAATCTTTCAGTATAACTATTTTTACTTGGAGATTTTGAGTTTTTTTTTATATATATTTTAAAAACATAATTGCTTTTTAAAAAATATTTTTTATGCCTAAATGTCAAAAATTTTTTAATTATTTTTTCTAACATAAAATACACATATTATCACCCATGAAGAGAAGACATACATGCAAATTCCAAAATATTAATTATTGTAATGGTTTTTGGATTTTTTATTTTATTTTATAATATCAGGTCAGTTTTATCATGTGTGTTTAATTGTTGACATGATCATACCATGTGATTATTAGTATCATACGAGTGACACCTTCTCAGCATTCAGTTAGAGATTAATGGTTAGATGATAAAAAAAATAATTACTCAAATTACTTAAATGTTAATTTTATAATGAAGTGACCAAAATAAAAAATCATTCAAAATTAAATGACAATCATTACCTTTTAAAATTTTCCTTC